AGGTTCATCAGAAGGAGCGTGACCAGCAGGTCGAAGGAGGTGATCCTGCCCCTCTGTTCTGTGCTTGTGAGACCTCACCTGGAGTATTGTGTGCAGTTCTGGTGTCCTCAACATAAAAAGGACATGGAACTGTTGGAACAAGTCCAGAGGAGGGCCACGAGGATGATCAGGGGACTGGAGCACCTCCCATGTGAATATAGGCTGAGAAAGTTGGGGCTGTTCAGCCTGAAGAAGAGAAGGCTGCATGAAGACCTCATAGCAGCCTTCCAGTATCTGAAGGGGGGCTATAGGGATGCTGGGGATGGACTATTCTTTAGGGACTGTAATGACAGGACAAGGGGTAATGGGTTAAAATTTAAACGGGGGAAGTTTAGATTGGATATAAGGAAGAAATTCTTTCCTGTTAGGGTGGTGAGGCACTGGAATAGGTTGCCCAGGGAAGTTGTGAGTGCTCCATCCCTGGTTGGTGTTCAAGGCCAGGGTGGACGAAGCCTTGGCTGGCATGGTTTAGTGTGAGATGTCCCTGCCCACGGCAGAGGGGTTGGAACTAGATGATCTTAAGGTCCTTTCCAACCCTAACTATTCTATGATTTTCCTGGATGTTTCAGTTAAATTTTTCCCTGTTACTTGGAAGACATTTTGCTGTCAGTTACATTGTTTTTCTGAGAGCCACAGTCATGCTTCCTATGAATGTTTCCTGTCTTGAGTCAGGGATTATTCATGTGTGTAAGATTAACTCATAAATTATTGTCTTTGTAGTATATTTGCTACATCTGTATTACTTTTGGGGATCACTTTTCCCAGTGAGATAATAAAATCATTCTACCATTTTCTCATGTTTATCTTCTGTGATCAGTTCTGTATACAAAGGGAGATCTTTATATTGTTGATACCGTGTTTGCAGAGTATTGTCTTGTCTAGCACAGCCCTGAACCCCTGGAGAAGGTGTTGCTTAGTGCAGTGCCTCAGTCGCAGGCAAGAAAGCATGTGTGCATGTTCACACACACACTCAAGCTCAAGAATTTCTGTCAGTGTGAAGTCAATGAGTCAGCTTGTTTCCTGCACAGTGAGGAGGGTGACAGGGAACTGAGCAAACAGGGAAATGCAATACCTATGAGTGATTTATCTGTGCCCATGGGTGTTAGCTAGTGCACAAACTGCATGGAGTTACTCAGTCCAAATCACTGAACGGCACTGCGCTGAGGAAAGTAGCAGTGACTGTTAGTGGCACTCTCCAAATACCAGAACATGTGCACTGCTAGTACAGAAAAGTCCTAAAACTTAACAAATGAACTGAAGGTTTGCTCATAATAATTTCAGTACCTTTCAGTGGAACCAATGCAGAAGAGTACTTGCAAATCTGCAGTGATTTAATTACTCTTCAGCTACTTCCCAGAGTCAGCTGTTTCATTACTGTACATGTAACATTTTGACCCACAGGATATACTTTTAGAGCAGCTGAATATAGCAGTTGTTGTGGGAAGTGCTGCAGAATGTCCCAGGTTTTGGTTTCATTTTGTTTTCTATAATAGATACATAGATATATAGATATATATATATAAAAAAGCCTAACAGTCTCATATTTTATACTATTTTTATTTCCTAACTGTTTTGAGTTAGGTTAGATTAACTTAATGTCCATTATATGTATGCATGCACATGCCCAAAAACTAAACTTGACTTCACAATAGTAGACCACATATGTCCTAAATTTCCTTATGGGGCATGTTGTGATTGCACTTCAGAATATCAAATGGAATGATGCTGTTACGCAGTTGGTAGGATCAAAACCTGGGCCTCAGCATCTGTGTTTTTATAAACTAGTTTTGAATGATATTAAAAAAAAGAAAATTTATCACCCTATGGATTTAATGCTCTGGTTTAAGATAGACTTTATCATAAACATGCCCTATCCAGATACCTTGATAAAACTATCTGTACTTGTTTGAAAGCACAGACACATGACTACTTACACTTAATATTTCTGAGTCTGTCCAGTTTGGGCTGCTATGAAAGTAGGTGTCTGGTATTCAAACTGAACGGAGAGTTACCTGAATTCCATTGTTTCTTGAAGCATTGTATGCTGGAGAAAATTGTGGTGTCAGTATGTTCAAATGATCTTAAGTTTGTCTCTGTGAGGTTCTTTAAAAGCCATTCTAATTAATGGTAATTTTGAACAAATCAATTTTTCTGTGGACCTTTGTTCAGAGATTTAGACCTACAAACCTCTGAGGAGAAAGGCAGTCACTGAAAGAGGAGCTGAGCCAAATAATGCAGGTGGTAAAATTGTATAAGGATGGCTTTTGATTATTCTATTGCCTTCTGTGCATCTCCTGTACTGAAACTTGTAAAACTTTTCTACAGCTATAGCTTTACCAAATCCATATGATGGAAATAACATTTTTGGCAGTAGAATGGTTTTTGTTGTTGTTTCTTAGAAGACATGCTTATAAGGCATATTTGAATTGTCGGAGATGTAGAGTGATATAATTTCTATACTAATGTCAAAGTGTGGGAATGTTTACTCATTGTACAGAGCTTCCTGTAGTTTCTTGATGATATGTAACAATGGATCGTATTGCTTGAAAGAAAAATAATTAACTGCAAGATATGGAGTTCATTGGACCAAAATATTCTGTCTGTCCTGTAAGGAGAAATTACTTAGAAGGTTATTAGAGGCCATAGCCCAGGAAGAACACATTTCTCAGTGTTTTCATATTGTCTTTATCTTCTTGCATGTATAATTTCAGCCGTTGATACATGTGTACAGATCAGCTGATGAAGAAGAATGGCATTTTTGAGAGTCTGAGAGAGATGGGGTTGTTCAGCCTGCAGAAGAGAAGGCTCCAGATCTTAGGGCAGCTTCCAGTACCTAGGGGGGGCGTACAAGAAAGCTAGAGAGGGACTTTCACAGGGGCGTGCAAGAATAGGACAAGGGGGGACAGTTTTAAACTGGAAGAGGGTAGATTTAGATTAGCCATTAGGAAGAAGTTCTTCACTATGAGGGTGGTGAGGCACTGGCACAGCTTGCCCAGAGAAGCTGTGGCTGCCCCATCCCTGGAAGTGTTCAAGGCCAGGTTGGATAGGGCTTTGAGCAGCCTGCTCTAGTGGAAAGTGTCCCTTCCCAGTGGCAGGGGGGTGGAACTGGATGGTCTTTGAGGTCCCTTTCAACACAAACCATTCCATGATTCTATGAGTTTTATATAGCAAAGGCAACAAATAGCCATGACAAACAGTACTAGAACTCATGCCCTAGCCCTGAGTGTATCCTAGACACACTGTGCAGGTTACTGATCTTTACTTAACTTTGCCCGGTTCTATCATTTGTACTTGCTGCTTAGATGAAAGCCATTTTCTTGTGGAGAATTTACTATATTATGATAATTCTTCAGCCAGCCTGGATTCTTAGCATGGTGGCTCTATTCACTCAACTATTAACATGCCAGAAATCTGAGTGCATACTTATGCATATGAAAAGAGTTAAAAGTCGCACCTAAGTGCTTATGGTTTTGGCAATTTTAAAACCAGAATTACGCTGCTAGAATTTATATAATTGTACTTAAATATTTCTTACTTCATGTGATTAAGACTAGATTCACTGAATCTTAAAATGTGGTCCATATATTGTTTTCCCATTATGAAAGAGGTTTCATTTCTGCACCTACCTCTCATTCCTACTTTTCCCCTCTCAGCACTGCAGCATGCTAACCTTTCTGGGATTGTACCACTGAAACATCACTGGTCAATGCTGGCTTTGGTCTGGCTTTCCTGCAGCCAGATTATTTTTCCCCTGGACTCCTACATTGGATGCACATAAGCAGTTTCATGGCTACCCAGTTACTTTTGCTGGGAACTGATCTAGCCAGAAAATACCTTTTTTTAATCCCCAGACAATTTTTAGTTTGCTGTGTTGCCACAAAAATGCTTTTGCCAGCTCAGTGAAGGGATAGCATGTGGGCAGGGACCAGCAGCTGGGTGTGGAAGGAGGTGATAAATGGGAACATGTGAAAGCATGATGTCATTTGTGTAGATACAGCTATTTGTGGACCACACATAAGCTGAACCTGTGAAAAGCTTATATTACTGCAGGACTGCTTTTAAACTGGAATTATTTTTTGAGCTAGATTTGCCACAAAGCTAAAATCATATGCAGCTGCACTCTCAAATGGTTCCACAGTCTTTACATGCTGGGCCTGTGTGATACTGGAGCATCCAGAAGGAAAAATCTAATTCAGATCTGATGTGAGCACATGTAAATATTTCTGTCAAACAAAGCAGGGCAAAGTTTTTATGCTGGCCTGATGCCAGAGAAACTGTGTTACTCCAGATGCAAAGACAAGACAGTACCTGATTTGACAGAAAGCTGGCTAGCACAGAATCATAGAATCAGCCAGGTTAGAAAAGACCTTTAAGATCACCGAGTGCAACTGTTCCCCCAGCACTACCAAGACCACTACTAAACTATGTCACTGAGAGCCTCATTTACACAGTTTGTGAACACTTCCAGGGACGGTGATGCCACTGCTGCCTTGGGCAGCCTGTTCTAAGGCCTGATCACCCTCTGGGGGAAGGAATTGTTCCTAATATCCAGTCTAAACCTTTCCTGGCACTGTTTGAGGCTGTTTGCTCTTGTCCTATCCCTTGTTCCTTGGAACAGGAGACCAGCCATATTATAGGTACATATCTGTAGGGGAATTTTCAATTAAAAAAGCTTGCATGTCATTTACTACGTATCATTAGGTAAATATTTGAACGTACCAGGATGAATATAAATACTTGCTGTATTAAAAGCTTTCATGTTTTATACACATATGAAATATGAAAAATTATTTACTAATCATTTACTAGTACCAGATCTTGCCAGATGAAGTAGTCATCTCAGTCATTTGAAATACAGTAATTCTAATGACTCTATACTGTAAAGGAGTAATATATGTCCTAGGCCCTTTGTTAAAGTACAGTTTTACTTAACCAGCCATGATTTACTTTTTCTCCCGCAGTCATGAATCACCAGCACCAAATAACATCCAGCACAGCCATGTCACAGCAGAGTCGTCCTCCCCAGACTCCACAGCCAGGGCTTTTGAACATGCCTAGTGCACTGACCACACAGCAACAGCAGCAGCAGAAGTTGAGGCTCCAGCGAATCCAGATGGAGAGGGAGCGAATTAGGATGCGTCAGGAGGAGTTACTGCGACAGGTAATGCCAAAGATACTCTTATTTTGTTCAAGAGCCTTTAGTTCAACGCATCCAAATTTTTACCAGATACAATTAGTAGCTCTGTAACTTTGTCAAGATTAACCATTGTTTTAGGTAAGGGTAACAAAAAAGCTAATATAAATAGAACATTTCTTTTTTTTTGTTTTTCTCTAAAATAACATTGAACAGAACAAAAAATGGTCATCTGTCAGGAGTTAAAGATTGGTGTCTTTCCTTTCACCTATAAAAGTAGTGTAAGGACCAAATTCTGGTCTGCATCTGTTTATAAATCTAGAGCAACTATCACAGATTAATTTGCAGTTTAACTTGGTTTGCATAGGAGACCATGCTCATGCTTCACTGAAGATAAAGTCAGAACATCTAAAGTTGTTCCTGAGTCTGATCCCACCTCTGTAACTTACACCCATTGTTTTAGGATTAAAATAAAACTTCATTCACCTCTTACATGAACACCTCTGACTTGAAGATTTGCCAGGGATGATTCTTTGTGGATGTATTGTTTATTGTTCTAAAGTGTCAGATCTATATTAGGACTTTTATTATGCAAAACAGATATGTAACTTCCCTTACACTGCCTTACAGAATTAAAAAGTTTTAGCAATTACATTTCTTCTGTTACAGACAACTCTACTAGTGATGTTGTGTTTTGCATGGCATATTTATCAGCTTCCTTAGAGGAAAAAAAAATAACCTATTTCTCTCAGGAACAGTGTGAACAAAGTACATTTTTATCAAGAGCAACACCATTATTGGTGGCCTTGTAAATGCTACAGTTCTAAGTACCTTTAAAAATGGTAATATTCACGGAATTACAGACTGGTTGAGGTTGGAAGGGTCCTCTGAAGGTCATCCGGTACAAGCTCAAGCAGGTTCACCCAGAGCTGGTTGCCCAGGACCATGTCTAGATGGCTTCCATGGGGTCACCTCCAAGGACAGTGACCCCACACCTTGCCGGGCAGCCTGTGCAAGTGCTTGGTCATCCTCACAGTGACAGAGTGTTTCCTAATGTTCAGAGGGAACCTCCTGTGTGTCTGTTTGACCTCTGGTCCTGTCACTGGGCACCACCACGAAGAGCCCGTCTCCTTCCTCTTTGCACCCTCTCTTTGGGTATTTATATACATGGAAGAAATTCTGCTAAGCCTTCTCTCCCCCAGGCTGAAGTCGCAACTCTCTCAGCCTTTCCTTGTAGGAAAAGCAGCATGCCCACATTTTCAGTAACCTCCCTATTGTCACCTAGGTAGTTACAGAAGCTCTTCTTGTTGTCTTTGACTCTCTTGGCCAGATTCAATTCCAGCTGGGCTTTAGATTTCCTAACCTCATGCCTGTGTGCTCATACAGTGTCCTTGTGTTCCTCCCAGGTTACCCAACCTTACTTCCATCCTCTGTGGAAATAGCAATTTTGTGGAGTTACTATTTCATGCCATCAGTCCTTTTGCCTTTGGGGTTGTACCATAATCTGTAGTTATTTTAGGGTAATGTTTGTTTGTACTGTATTTAGAAATGCAGTATGACTTTTTTTGTAACGGGTAGTAACCAGAAGTTGTTACTGGACTGATGACGCCAATTGGCTGAACTTCTCTATGATTTATTGAAGAACCATAACTTGCTGTAATGTTTTGAAATGTTAGTGACTTGTGTAAAATGTGAAAAGAAGCCTAAGGAAAATCCTCACACTAAGATACCCTCTGAGTTGGAGTAGCAGAGGGTGTGTCATAGGTTGACTAGCCACCACTAAATGAGGAGTGATGCACTTTTACTTCCAAGTCTGGAGGAGAATGACTGAGAGAAACACATTACTGATGAAACAGACCGGAGCATCTCAGTGACCTCTGGAAGACTTTGTGGGTAGCAAAGAAAAGGACACATATATCTTTAAAACCCTTAGGTCTGAAATAGAGATCTGCATGATCAGAGCAGGTTTATGAGCTCACAGAGTTTTTGTCATCTTTTAGAGGCAACAGTCATGAAAACCTCAAATTAATGGCCAGCATTTTGGTTTTCTCTCTGCAGCCTTTGAATGTTGGTTTTGCTAAATATTTTTTAAACATGCTATCTCAGTAAAATTAATAGAAGAAAAGGTCTTTCATGTTTGTAATGATTGAGAATTTGAGGTGCTATTTTTCTGGGCTTTTATTTCAGAATAAATATTTTTAATAGCATTGTATAAAATCACATTTCAAAAAGCAATAATAGACATTATTACAGTTACTCACCAAAACAAAGGTTATTAGAATTGTATTGAAAGTGGGTATTTCTTTCATATACAGAAAATGCAGTTTGATGCAGGTCCTTATTGCTAATACAGACTTCTAACAAAAGGAATATGATTGTACTTTTCTTCCTACGTACAAACTATATGTAAGTCAAATTTCTCTCCACTTACACCACTGGAACCTTAGTAACTTCATCTTGTGCAGACAGAAAGACCCAAAGTAGGATGAATGTACATACTATCATAGAGTAGGCTTTTGTAAAAATAAAAATGGATGTCTGATGAGTAGAATCACAAAAACATTAGTGATAATATTTGTAAAAAAGCTTTATAACAATATATTTGCTTCACTTACGTTTTTTTACTCTTACCTCCTGCCTCTAAATACATATGTAAGAACTTAAAATAAAAATGCTTAGCAAAAGTAATTAACAAAAACTCATTAATGCATTTGGAAACTGCAGAGCACCATCTAGCTGCATTTGGGGGGAAAAAAAAAGGCATTGAAATTATGAGCTTTTATAGTTCCTGCAGCGACACTTGGCTATCTTTGCGCATTATTATTCCCATCATCTTCGGTCCATGCTCAAGGTTAAGCAAGTGCTCAATGCTCATCCTGTGCAGGGGTGAAAGGCAGATACAATTCCAGTAATGTATCTGATTTTTTTTACCTGCTTACATCAGGGCTGAATTTGACTTTCATAGTTCAGACCTTTTGTAGACACCAACATCTTGTGACTGTGTTTAGTTTCCACTACCTGTAATTTTGGGGAGTTACATTAAGATATGTTACCTGTGTGTATAGAACTATGCTCAAGGTGATGGTCTTTGACATAAGCAGTGATCTCAAGTCTTTTGAGTACCTTCTCCTTTACTATCAGGAGCTGAGAACATAACAGAGATTGGTGTGGAAAGCAAATGGGGATATCTGGTATAGCTTAGTCGGAATTGTCATCATGCTAATAGCATATTTAGCTATTTTTACTCTTCGGCCCTGTTTTTTGCTTCAGGACAAAAGCAAATTGAGCTTCAAAACAGTTGTGGCATTAATACACGGGCCGGTTTCCTTGCTTTGCTGACTGTGTTTTACTTTGAAGGTAATACACACACCACACTGCAGCTGTGCTGTACTTCATCAAGTCTCCAGCTTACTATGCCTAGTTACACCCTGCATGTATGGTGGTTGAGCTCCACACTACATAAAACAGGACAGGAGCACTTTGCACTACTAAAGTTTTCAGCACTGGTGTAGCTCTTGGGGAAACAACATGCTTCCCCAAAGCAAAATCCATCCTTTCTAACAGAACTGTGTGAAGTTCCCGACAGTAACCTGAGCACTTCTGAACCTCGACAGCTGAGAAGAATGCCAAAAATCCCTCTGGAGTTATCAGCATTCAAGTACAGTTTCTCCTGCCCTGACCCTCACTGCTGCTTTTGCTTTTCTAGTATAACCTGTCTAAGGGAAAAATGCTGAGTAAGTGTGCCTAGTGTTCCTAGCAACTGTGAGATGGTGCAGAGAGTTTGAGCGAGAGGCAAGGAATTCTTTTGGTGGGTCACAAACTTCCTTTCAGCCTGGCAGCAGCTGCTGGCTCCCTGCAGACATTCCTGGCTGCAGCTGCTTGCGTGGAGCAGCACACCCAACCGGGAGAAATACACAGTTCTGGAAGATCTCCTCTTAGGGAATCTGTTCCCTTCTTTGTCCTCCATTTAATTTAGTTGGTAAAGCTTCTAGAACTGCAGGCTGAGTATATGCAAGAAGGGCAGCGCTTCAGAAAACCAGTATGACAGCTTCTCTGTAAATGTTTCCTTACTCGGTTTTGTCATTCTGGAAAGAAGTTGGTTTGGTTTTATTTTTTTTTTTAATTTTATTTTATTTTTCCTGGTTGGTTTTGGCAGTTTTCCAAAGGAAAAGGGAGAACATGTTTGATGTTCAAGCACTTCTTGAAAATTGAGGTAGTTAGAGGTCATGTCAGTAAGAGCCTCTGAAAGGGCATTGTGGGGAAAATGTCCCAACACTTTGCACAAGTGCCATCTTGCACCTTGTTTGGAAGGGTACAAAAAGGCAACACTTCTCAGAGCTTCCTTTTCTGATTCCCCCAATCCTATTCCATAAATTTCTGCACAGAAAAATACAGGGGCTCAAAAGAGACTGTAGAAGGGGTCCTGTATGGAGCTGTAGAGGACCCTGTATCACTGTTTTCTCTGCACAGAGTAGAACATGACTGACCTGCTAAAGCATGAACAGAAAAATGTCCTGCTGTACTCTTTCCACTGGACAGACTGATTCATAGTCTGATAGATTGATGGCAAAGGCAATATCTAGTTGTCTCATTTTCCACCTTAAGGATGAGAACTGTGAGAAAAAGAATTCCAGTGGCTAGCAATGTAAACTCACTGTAAAAATGCCCTCACTTGCCTCCCGCAGCTAGAAGTGACTGTTTGAAAACTAAGCATGGAGCTCAGTTCAGTTGTGCCAAGGAGGGTTCCAGGAAATGTGACAATGAATGTCTGGATTTGTCTGGCATACAGGTAAAGGGGGTTTACATCAGAACTGTATGCAGAGGCAGTGAGTAATTCAGCTTGTTGCAGTGCTTTGAAGCTTTTAAAAAGTTTTGCAAAATAACCACTGATGAAGCTTTCCACATGCCTTTGTGATGTCAGGGTACTGTGTTTTTTTTTAATTTATTTTGTTTTGTTACTTATTTTGAAAATCCCCTTTGGGGTTTTAAAATGGTGCGTGCAGTACTGCCAAGTAGATCCTTATGGGTGTTTGGTCCTTTCTGAACCTATGTGCTAAGAATTGTCTCTGCTGGCCAACAGGGCACTCCTTCATTTGGGAGCTAAGAGCTAATTAGACTAGCTAAGCCTGTTCTGGTAGCTTGGAACTGCAGTATTGCTATTGACAGGGCTGCAAGAACTCTCTGTTTTTTTTTGCCAGACTTCTTCACTTAGGGTAGGAGATGCCTGAATATTCTTCTTAAGCATCTTGTAGTCATGCCATGCTTAGAATAGAGAACCAGGCAGAACAGGCTATCACACATCTTTTGTGATGGTGTAATTGGTCCGTTACTATTGACACTGCTGTAGTAATGTCAAAGAAGCAAAGCAGCAAGCAAGTCTGACATCTGTAGCAGTACTAATATTGTGGTGTGACTTTTGAACATATCACCTGCATCAGGCAGCAGCAGCAGAAGGTTGGTTCAATGTATAGTAGAGCCAGTGCACTGCTTCCCCAGCCTGCCTCTGACTCCAGTATGCAGGACTCTGTTGTTCTGTATTATAAAGTACACATGGAGTTAATATTACAAGCAACATCCAGTATGTTGAAATAAAGACACAGGAGCTGCCAAGTCATTCCCCAAGTGAGAGCAGAAAACATAACTTTATAAGAAATTCAGTGTTTCTTGCAAGAAAGAGGAGACATGAACTTAGACTTTCTAAATGCCAGCGTCTTATTTTAGGTTGCTGAAGGTTTTTCAACTCACAGACTGTCTTGCTTTGCAGGGCCTAACTCATGCAGTAGATTAAGCATTCCTGGAATGGATTTCTGGCCCTGCTGCAGTTAGCAGTTGGGAGGGCTAATTACTGTGTCTAGGGATGTGATCATAAACCTGGGTATGAATCTCTCCTTGTTGGACCAAAGAGGAGTTGGCACCATGTTTTCCAAAGAGATCACTAGCTGAACTCCCCAATTGCATAGGTCAGCTGCAGGACAGAGAACAGCTGGCCAGCATTAAAGTTTGCAGATGCATGTGAAATTCACAGCACTTTGTGCAGGAGTAAGTCCAGTTAGTGCCCTGGAAAGAATGGGCATTTTGCAGTGCATTCATATTTCTGAGAGGCAGTTCATTGAGAACACTTCAAGTTTAACAGAAATCCTTTTCAAATGGCTGACTGTTCATCTTACTGGCCATAGGACAGTCAGCCTGATTCATTGCAGTAATGCAGTCTCTGTGCCTTTGTTTTTCCTTTGTTAATAGTCCATTCTGAGCAACTTTTTGGAAATTAAGTAATTATTGGGGAGTAAGTTACAGAAGTTACCAGTGATTTAGGACTTTCCCCAATACAATATGATACAGAAGAATCTTCGTGTCTGTCTGGAGAAAGGCAGTGCCTGTGTCTGTTCTGTAAAAAGCAGGTATGATTGCAGCAATTGTAGGCTAACCTGAGGTTAGGAAGCTTGTAACAGTGACATCAAATTAGGACTTAGAGTATTCTGAAAGAGGCAAATACTTGGATCTTGAACAGATTTTTCTCAGTTATTTTCAGTAATAGCATTTGATTTTCAGAAATGACAGCGACCAGAATGATAACCAACATGTATTTCATATGTTGGCAAACTAGGGGAAAGGCTTTCTTTTTGCCTTCCCCCCCTCTCTTCCCACCCCGTACTGATCTTACCTTTTTTTAGTATGGAACAATGTCCAGTGAGATTTGAAAATGCACTGCCCTAGTATCAAAACCATGAACTTCACTGCTAGATTGGATTTTAAAAAAAACCACCAAACCCTAGCTGAATATACCCTGCCTCATTTTATCTGTCTTTTCTTCTTCCTTTCTGCATATCTTTATGGCTGTCTTTTTTTCTTTCTTGCTGTTTTTCTAGTATTAGCCTTGCTTGTGTTGATGTAGTTGTTATATTTAAACAAATACTTGCAGTATCTTCATGTAGACAGTTAAAAATGCAGTCTGACCATTTTCTGAGGTTACATTTTCACAAACTCCAGCTGATTTAATTATAAATAGAACCATCACCAGTGGAGTTGTCACTTAACAAATGTAATGAAATAAATAAGCTATTAAGAATCTTCAGACTGTTTGTTCTTAACACTTACTAAATAATGACACCATCTAATGTAAATTATTATTTATCTGTGCATATATTGGTATTTTGATTATAAAGGAAACATTGCATTAATTGGCACCAATATCTGGTAATTCCCAATGAATAATTGTTACATTATTCATGAAGAGACCAGACTGGTCCTCCTCAATGAAGAAATCAAATGAAAACTTAGTAAACTATCATATTCTAGCCTCAAAAACATATTCATCTTTTTTGTAGTTGGGAGGATAATGACTGATTCACTGGAGAAAAGTTTTCTACTAGGATTTAAATGAAATATTTCCATTGTTTATTTCGTTAAAAAATACTGATAAGGTTGAATAGGTAAAATACAGATATAACTTTATATTTTTTAGGTCTTAGGATACTTGTGTGTATCTGTGGCTCCCCGTGGAGCCAAACCACCTTTGCATAGACTTCTGTACCACTAGATGTCATGGTTGTTTCATAGAGACAATGCTAGAATTATCTTTCAGGAAATTCTGAAGCAAGTTTCTTTCGGCTCTAGTGGCTTGTTTGTCATGCTAATGACAGTACACATGAGACAGGTCATTGGACAGATATTATTATTAGGCAGAGGATACACTCTAAAGATTATTGGGTCAAAGCCTTCTTCCAGCATGTTACATATTTTATGGTTGCAAATGGTAATCTTCTGCTTTGGTACATAGCAAATCATGTACTCTAGTAGCAACTCACATAGTTTCAGTGCCTGATTTTCGTCTCTTTTGCACCAGTTTAAACTAAACTGAGAGCAATTTCAGTTAAGGTTAGAAACAAATATGTGGGAGATTAAATTTGAGTCTGCAGGTCTTAAACTGCCTTATTATTGCCACTCCGGCTCTCAGAGAACTTGTCCTTGCTGAACAGTAAACTGAAACTGTAATTTGAGTGTTTGAGTGTTAACATAGCTATAGGCTGCATGTCAACATGGAAAACTGTCAGCTGGTGTTAGCTGGCCCATGAAGTGTGTCCAGGCTGTCAGTAATCAGTTATAATGTGCAGACCTATCAGTGTTTTATGATGAGGTGACAGACGAGGCGTCTGAAATTATAACATAGGTAATTTGGTTTCGTAGGGGTTTTCTCTGGGTCCAGCAAGGCTTGGTCCAGCCATCTTGCAGGTCATTGTGTTTGTTCAAGGTTTGACTTCCCCCGGCTGTCTGCCACTACCAATGTGACAGCTCTGCCAGTAAAGCATTTATATGAGTATTTTGTGATCTGCATCACACAAAGAGAGTGAGGCTAGTTTAAACAGGCAGACAAACTCTCTGGTTTAGTGTGAAATGTGTTACAAAGTCCTCAGAACGTGTGCCTGCTGGCTGAACTATTGGACTGTCTTCCAGCCATGGAAGTAACTGAAAAGTAGATTCTGTGGTGTTTTAGGGCAGCACAGGTGGGTATTAAAGATGCTGTCTACATTATAACTTCCACATCACTGTAAATAAATAGACATCAATTAAGTTGTTTAGAATTCCTTTCATAAATAAGATATGTGTATATATTACATGTTCTCTTGTTACAAGACTTCTTGCAGGACTTCTGAGCCGCTGGAATAACTCTTCCCCTGTATTTGTTTGCCTTCTCAGGAAGCTGCTCTGTGCAGACAACTTCCCATGGACTCAGAAAACATGGTCCCAGTTCAGACAGCTGTGAATACACCTGCCATGACACAAGACATGAGGCCTATTACAAATAATGGATCTGATCCCTTCTTGAACAGGAAAGTTCATGTCCTCTTTATTAGGCAATTAGTTCTGTTGTCTTCTCTACACTTTGAAAGCTGTTTTTCTAAAGTAGCTTCCTACTACTATCATCTTTTGTACTTGCTGTGAACATGGAGTACAGCTGAGTGGCTGACCTGAAGTTTATACTTCTAGAAAGGAATCTTAGAAAAATCAAAAAAATGGTAACAGTTTTAATTGTACTGTAGGTGTATGTAGACAACCCCAGGTAGAATAAGTACATAACCTAAGTATAAATAAACTCTTTTTTTTTTCTAGGCTGTCAGAACTGTTTTTGTCTAAAGAGTTAGATATACATGTGTATATTTCAAAATTTATGAGTAGCCTCACCAGTTGCTTTATATTTGGGCTGATTTAACAGGACTACATTAGTGGCCAACAGTTGAGAATGAGGCTTAATGACTCAATATTTAATATCTTACCTACTGTGCTGTCTTTTTTCAAACACCATGATGAGGGACTGGACGGCTGGGCCGGGTACGACTGTGCCGGGCGAGGCGTGGGGCTCCGCTGCAGCCGCCGGTAGGGCGGTAGGAGCGGCTGGGCTGTGCTGGGGGCGGCGGTAGTCAGTCAGTCCCTACCAGAACATCTTTACTGAGGCTTTTTCATGTTTTAATTTACAGTGGGCCATACCATTCCAGGGAACAGAGTACTGACAGTGGCTTGGGATTAGGATGTTACAGTATACCAACGACACCGGAAGATTTCCTTAGCAACGTGGATGAGATGGATACAGGTAGAACACTCCGATTTAGCTTAAAGTATAATAATACGAATAACTCTGTTATAACAAGTTTCATAATTGCATAACTGAACGATAATCTCTTGCTTTCCTATGCAAGTGAACAGACTGAGACTGGGGGGAAAAATGCCTAAAAGGTACTTAGTGTCTAGAAGCTTCTCAGCTTTAACTTAGGTTCAGATTGTATGATTTTACCTTACACTGATACTAAACAAAATAAAAAAAGTTGGAAAATGTGAGTCTTAATTACTGTTTTCGTATCACAGTCCAAGGTAGGAGGACTAAAAATCATAGAATAGTTAGGGTTGGAAAGGATCTTAAGATCATCTAGTTCCAACCCCCCTACCATGGGCAGGGACACCTCACACTAAACCATGCCAGCCAAGGCTCTGTCCTACCTGGTCTTGAACACTGCCAGGGATCGAGCATTCACAACCTCCCTGAGCAACCCATTCCAGTGCCTCACCACCCTAACAGGAAAGAATTTCCTCCTTACATCTAATCTAAACTTCCCCTGTTTAAGTTTTAACCCATTACCCCTTGTCCTATCACTACAGTCCCTAATGAAGAGTCCCTGCCCAGCATCCCTATAGGCCCCCTTCAGATACTGGGAGGCTGCTATGAGGTTTCAGCCTATCTTCATACAGGAGGTGCTCCAGTCCCCTGATCATCCTCATGGCCTCCTCTGGACTGGCTCCAACAGTTCCATGTCCTTTTTATGTTGAGGACACCAGAACTGCACACAATACTCCAGATGAGGTCTCACAAGAGCAGAGTAGAGGGGCAGGATCACCTCCTTCGACCTGCTGGTCATGCTTCTTTTGATGCAGCCCAGGATACGGTTGGCTTTCTGGGCTGCAAGCGCACACTGCCGGCCCATGTTCATTTTCTCATCAACCAACACCTCTAAGTCCTTCTCCACAGGCTGCTCTGAATCTCTTCTCTCCCCAACCTGTAGCTGTGCCTGGGATTGCTCCGACCCAGGTGTAGGACCTTGCACTTGGCATGGTTAAACTTCATGAGGCTGGCATCAGCCCACCTCACAAGCGTGTCAAGGTCCCTCTGGATGGCATTCCTTCCCTCCACAACTGAACCACACAGCTTGGTGTCATCGGCAAACTTGCTGAGGGCGCACTCAATCCCACTGTCCGTTTCAGTGACAAAGATGTTGAACAAGACTGGTCCCAACACCGGTCCTGAAAAATCTGGGTTACATTCTTGGTACTCTGGAAAATTAGTCTCACTAGTAAATCTCTTAAAATGGCAAAGCTGGATTTGGCTTCAAACAATGTATTTAACTAGTCCAGGTTTTCATAGTTAGTTATTTTTACATCATTGTCCTCATGGTATTTAAAATACTGAAAGAAATTTCTAAGAAATTGACAAGCTTTTTTCCAGATAGTGAAATTCTTAGCACTTCCTTATCTAAGCTTCCTTTTGCATTCATCAGAAGTTCTAGATGTTGCTAAAAGTGAAAGCCTTCTCTATTAAAGATGTTCATACTTGTTATTACTAATTTATGAAAAAGGTAGTATAATATTGCAGATCTAATTTGCTGTAAGATGCTTCCTTCTTTAGTTATGCCCTCAGGACAGCATTCACTCTTCGGCAGGGAGCAGGATAGAGGCTTTACATAAGACTCAATCACGTTGCTCCCTGTATGACTAGTAAATTTGAACTATTGTGCTTCCCAAGGGGAAAGTCAGCGGCTGATAGCAAAGAAAAGAAATTAATTCTCAGAAGAATATGCATTCTGCAAGCAGGTGTAGTCTTGAGGTAACATTTGTAGAGGATGGGAATGCTCACAAGTGCTTTCCCATCCCACAGGAGGATAGGACAGGGGGAGTCTAATGTTTATATGGATTGTGCTGGTTTAAATTACCCACAAGACAAGTTTTTGGCATTTAAAAATTTCTTCTTTACTTTTCCTAGGAGAAACTATACCACAGACAACAATGAACATAAATCCACAACAAACACGTTTCCCTGATTTCCTCGACTGTCTTCCAGGAACAAATGTTGATCTTGGGACTCTAGAGTCAGAAGACTTGATCCCTATTCTCAATGATGTGGAGTCAGTACTCAACAAAAATGAGCCCTTCCTTACCTGGCTGTAATCATTCAGTGCTGATTTGGCCTACAATGCAATTCAACATTTCTTTTTCTTCTTGAGATAGAGGTAGAATATGTGAAAATGCTCAAGAGAGACAACTTACTGCCTTAATGTCTTTTGTTACATCATCTTTATGGTCGGTTTAATCTCTGCCTGGATTTCATTGACACTAATTTAAATATAAAATACACACACATATATATATTAAAAAATACATATATGCATATATATTTATTCTTCTTTAAAAACAAGCACACTACTTTACATATCTATATACTTCTTTACCTTTTCAGACCAGGCAGAAATGTTTCAATTTAAGGACCGAAACTGGATGGTGTTTGTGCATATCCCTGACTGATCTCCTAGGTGTTGATTAGCATCGAAAACCCTTCATGAATCAGCAAAGCTAAATACTAGCTCACTTGGTTCAAAAAACATGCACAGCACCAGACCATGAGAGCGGTTTTATTACTGTGTTTATGACAATAGTATCAGAAGGGGGGTTTTATTAATTTACTTAAGCTTTAATTTTTATTATTTTTTTTTATTCTTAGTTACTAACTGTGCCATATGGAATACAGATTAAATCTGGTCCATATCAGCCATAATAATTCTCATTATATATTTGCAAAGGCACAAACAGTACTATTGCAGTTTCTTTTTTTCAGTATATTACTGTATAGGTTTTGGAAAACAAATACTTCCAATCTGAAAGTACCAGAATTGTTTAGCAACGTTTTTATACTACAATATTGTTGCAGAATAAACCAGGCTGGTACTGACTGCTGCCTTTTACAAACAAAGCAATGTATTATAAACAAGCATTTTTTAAAAAGATCTTAGATTTTGATGTTTATTATATTAAGCACTACATTTTTTAACTTAACACATAAACAATTTTTATGTATATAAAATCTGTGGCAAACAAATGAAAAAAACAGTCTTTTAAAAGCAGGTCTGAAAATGTGGCACAACCTGTTAATGTCATATGTAGCAGAAAGAAGCCTTATACTGTTTTCAGTAATGTTTTAACTGACAATGTCAAAATACATGTAGTTGTTTACATGAAAAAAGATGGTAACTTTATCAGGGCAGTGCTAAAGCAGTATTGGAACTTGTCTGGTAAAGTTACTTAGTTGTTAGGTCTTTTACTTACTGTAGTTGGTATACAGGACACAAGGCGTGTTCTGGGTATTTCTACCTGTTGTATATCCTACAAATACTTCTTTATCAGAGGTTTGGGACTGAGAAGGCATCAAGGACATTAAGCTTGCAGTTCCCCTGAAATGCAAATGAAGTCCTAAAATTCTTAAATATTTTGAAATTATGTTATTTATAATATGTGAATTTAAGCTTTTTATATTGAAAAATATGTCTTTATATGAAAGGCATTAAAACTTTTCTCTAAGCTTAAGCCGGGCTATGTAGAGAGAGAAAGAGGTGTAGCACTCAGTGTAAATGTGTGTTTGGCAGGTCTGATAACACTTAACAAGGTCTTACTGATGCACCAGAATATTGATCACTAAAAACTTTTTTCCATCTGGTTGGGTGAAAGTAGGTGATAAGGTCAGAGGTGAAGAGATGGGAATACGGAGGAGGTTTGGAAGACAAATGATCATGTAAGAGATGGAGATTCTTCACAGGAAGGGTTGTTGCAGATAGGGATACACAGAAAATGCATCATCAGCATTCAGTAAAAAATGTAAGAACTTGATACAATGAACTGCCTTGTCAATGGTGAACTGCTGGGTGTACAAGATACCAGAGGGCAGAAAATAAACAGCAAACACACCCAAATTTTGAAAAAAAAAAAAAAGAGGTGGAAGGCAAAGACCTACAGTCATAAAGTTTTATTACATAGGGAAAAATAGCTCTTTTAATGGGTTGGTTTTTTGTTTGTTTGGGTTTTTTTTAATAGAAAATGAGATACGACATCAGAGTTGTGTCTGCACAGGATTTAATTACTGAATGGGCATTGTGTTTATTTTTTGGAGAGGTTATTTGTTATTTTTGGGGGTTTTTTAATTATTTTTGTGAGTGCTAACTATTGATATAGCAGAAATTTCTTTTCAACAAACAGGGGACCGGGCAGGGCTAACCAATGTTACTGTAACTATGATTAATCTCTCTAAGGGTTTCTTCAGGTTGTCAGCCTAAACAAAAACCAGATGGTCCTAAGGCTTTGTTCTTTAGTGACATGACTGACTTGGAGATTTATTGGCATCTGATTGTGATGCCGACTTGTAAGGCAACTCTTAACCCTGGCGTGATTGGCCTAGCAAGCTGAAGGCTGTTGGTGCTAGAACACAGTAGCTGCCGATCTGAGCTCTAGCGTGACTCAGTTGATACTACTCACCCTTAGATTATATTTAGAAAATGCATTTTTTTCATTTGCTAGTAAGTCTGTACTATTATAAATTTAAGCTTTGACACAGTAGAAGATACTCCAAGCAGATCAGGTTCTTTGCTGGTGTGCATTAGCTAACCTGTGTTGACTTCTGTTTGGCTACACTGATTTCATCAACTGCAGGTCATGATTCTTACAGTGAAACCCAATGCTGTTTTCTTGTAAGGTCACTTAAGGTGTTTATCAGAATTGTGAAGCTACAAACTTGATTCCTCTTTTCATAGGTGTTTCATGTGGCTAAGTGTCTTAGTTCAAAGACCTTAAAGAGGTAAAACAATCAGGAATTCTTTCCATATTGCTTCCATAATAAACCAGCTGTGCAAAACAATACTTACAGTGTAAAACAACTGCCAGAATCTTAGGTCAGATCTTTACTCAGTCATGAACTGAATCACGTTTAAGTTAAAAGCCATTCTTTACTTTACACTGTAAACTTTTCATTTTTGTAATGGAGAGGATGTGTCAGATGAGTAGCAACAACAAAATTATTTTTTATTAAGTTCTCTTTTTCTAAAAGTTTCTAGCTTTAAACAGGCTGTGGCAGAACTTTTAAGTACTCAAAGCATATGCAATTCTTCTGAAACTAGATTTATAGATGCCAATGTGTTGCTTATTTCAGGTTTTGAACATTTACTTTAATAAATGCACACTGTCTGCTTGTAGTATAAATACAGCAAATATGCCAGCTGGATAGATTTACTGTCAGCCATCACCGAGGGTGGCATATGTAAGTCTTGGTGATACAGGAGTAATGAAATGTTGTTAATTACAGTTTGTATTCTGGTAATACTGTCAGAATGTAAGTTGGGGAGGGATTGGGTTTGACTTCTTGACAACAAATGCTGTTTGAGGGAAGGATTTAAATGTCTATTTTAAATACAGAAAAATATGGGTGTTCAAATAAACTTGTTTCCTAATATGCTACATGCATATACATGCTAGTACTTTAACTTTTTTATTTACTTTTTTCATTTTGTTATATGACATGTGTGAGCATTTGTTTTTAATTTTGAGTACCTTGCAACAGATTGTATGTATCAAAAGCAGTCAGATCAAACTGTTGTATCCAGGGTTTGATTCTGTTTTTTTTACTATTTCCTTGATCTTGTACATGAAAACCAAATATAAATGAACTTAAAGATTTTGGATGCATATTGGTTTATTAAATTGTTTCTTTTTTATTTTGGAGATTTTAGTATGTGCTTCCTAGGGAACTGTGTAACACTGCTTGGAATACTATTCTGTGCAAAAGGCATAAATTTTTAATTAAATTATGAGCTCTTAGCAAATCAGATGGGTTATTTTAGCTGTATGTTTTAATTTATTGGCAGTTGTTATGGCCATTAGTGGTAATTGCAGATTTACTTATAATGCCTACAACATCTTCCTTCCCAGTGCCACCATTACGTGTTTCTTTTAGTGGCACCTTGCAACTGATAATTCACTGACACAAATGTTTTGTTACGATTTGGTTTAATACCTTTACCTCTAAGTAGAAGAGTTAACACCAAGTACATTTACTGTCAAGTTCTGTTTGGGGGACTTTAGTGCACTGCTTTCAGCCTGATCCCTTATTCAAGAAGCATCCTAAATTCTGCATTAAGAAAATGCTGTCTTCTTTTACAAGAACAAACCATGAAACCTGAACAACAAAGCTTGTCGTTCCTGCTATGGTACACGATCCAATGCAACTGTTACTATTAATTAAGTTTAATACTCTTCTTGAATTGTTCCCTTACATAATTTATTCTAATTAATTGTTAGAATGCTTCTAACAGTATCTTGCTTTTACACAAAGAAGTTGTGGAACTGCCACTAAACAGAAATGGAAAGTGTATTAGTTGTTTTGAGAAATGTGTTTGCTAATTCATGGTTTATTTACTCGGGAATATTAATCAAGTATTTTTTTTGGCAGAATCACTGAATGTGTGTTTGTTTATGAAGGCCATTTTGTTTGTTCCTAATGAAGCTCTCCTTCCGAGCTGCTCAGTGGTGCCCCGCAAAGATTGCTGCTCCTGTGTGGTGTTGCCTCAGAGCTGTAATAAAACCTTTCGTCAGGGAGGGATTTTCCGAGATTGTGATGTGCAGAAAACCCCGGGCATTTCAGAGGAAGCATGTCAGTGCTCTAGCTTTCCGAGATAACCATTTAATGCAGCAGTCCTGTTGACGGGCCTTCTGTTCTGGTTTCTGTGCCTGAGTTCAGGAAGCCATTTCGGGCTGCAAGGACAACTGCACAGCTGCAAAGGATCCTAGTGCTAGCCTTCTCTCCAGGGTGAGGGTGTGCACCTCGCCCTTGGGAATCTCACCTCTCGCACCCACTTTTGTTGGGAAAGCATCCTGACATGGCTATTTTCAGTGCAGTACTAAAGCCTGTTCTAAAGCCTTTTTGCTACCTGGTCCTGAAAGCTTACTCTTCCCTGTACCATCAGCAGTGCCCGCATCCAGGTACGTTTTTATTCTTCAAAATGCGATGGCTAGAATATTTTGATAAAATTAACACCCTACCTTGGGCTAGCCTAAAAGCAAGCCCTCTTGTAACCTGGCGTTTACAGAGTTCGGTTAGGACGAAGGGAACGAAGACGGGCAGGGCAGCGAAGGGAAAGCGCGACGGCGGGACTAAGGTGAGAGGGAAGACGCCCACGCCCGAGACCACTTGCCTCTGCCCAGTCGGGCCGCGGCAGGGCGGGTCCCCCCGCCGCCACCTCAGGTGGTCGCTCCGGGGCTGCTGCCTCGCCCCGCCCTGGCTGCGGCTCCCACCTCGTCCTCAGGAACGCGGCGAGGCGGTGAGGACGGGAGGAGCGAGGTCGGTGGCGGGTAGGAGGAGACCATTCGGGAGACCGCGCCGCCCCCCAGGGCTGGACCGAAGGCGGGAGATGCATTCGAGGGCTCCCGCTGTTTTGCTGGCTGGGGCTGCTGCGCGGGTCGGGAATGGACCGGGACTCAGTCCTTGCTTCCATAGGGTCGGCCGTATAGCGCGTCTCGACCCCGCTAATTGCCTGGGCAGGGGATGGGTGACCTTCGGGAGGCGCCGGGGGGAAAAGAGCAGTGCGGACCGAGGCCGGGCGCTGCCGCTGGTCCTGCACCCTCAGCAGCCGGGAGATTCCCCGGCAGGTGAGACGTGCACACGCAAAGGCAGTGGAGACTCTCCACTGGCGCCCTTTTTCTGCACGTAGCAGTGATCAAGTATTGCCATAAACTTAACTAGCGCAATTACTTGGTAGACTTTATTTCTCAGTGCCAACGAATAGTATTTTTCGGTTTGGGTTGTTTGGATCCACAGGTGGGAGCAATTTGTATTTCAGTGAATGGTCCTGCATCAAGTGAGCAGTGGCAGGTGGAGGATAACGGTGGTGCTTCTCAGGTGAAGATGCCTATAAAAAGTCCCGTTGTATTGGCAGAGTTTTTGTAATTTAAGTTAAACGGTGGATTCTATCCCCTTGAAAGAGTAATTTGGCAAGGAAAAACTTCAGAGGTGTTTTATCTGGAGTTTTATTGATGTCCATCACTGATACCAGTGTTCACCCTCGGGGCAAAGACCCCACTCGTATCAATGTGGGAGAGCAAGTCAGTCTCCCCATCCTTGGGCAGTAGTGGTTGTTGCAGAGTTTGCTGTTGTTTGCCTTGTGGCTGGTTACGCCATGAGTAATGTAGAAGCCTTGAAGTGTGAGCTAAAGTTGAACTGGGAGCAGGTGATGAACATTCGAGACTAGAATGATGTTAGAAAACATTCTTTGCTCTTGGCTAAGCAAATATCTTTTTACTTTGTGTATGTTAACTTCCTAAGTTTGGAAATTAACCTTTAAAACAAAGTTGCCAGTTAGATAATGCATCATTCCCAACAGGTGATGCTGTACTGTGGTTAATGTATCATCTTGTTGCAGTCTACTGGGGACAATCAATAAAGAGAGCTCCAACTGTATACAGTTTAGCTGTGCAGGGGCACCGGTTTTGTTAGGCAGAAGTTGAAATGCGTGGGCTCAAAATCATGTGCACACACTCCACGTGTTGTAATCTGAGTTGTTAAATAACTTGTGTGTTAAATAATTAATGTAAATTCTCAGCTGAACCTATGCCCCAGAATTGCTCTCAGCACACAGTCAACTGGCACTGAGCAGCCAGTTTTTGTGGGTGAATAACGAGGGCCCAGATAACACGTGCATCTCTGAGATTTTACAGACAATACTAATATTTTTCCTTTAAGCTACTAGGATTTCGACATCTGTGTAAGTGTTGATATTTGTACACACTAAAACCAAGTGTGGTGTTCAAGTTGGTAAGAACTACTGAGGTCAGGTTTAACTCTTTCAGTTCTCCCTGTTCGTAGTTTCTCTCTTGCCAACATCTTTCTGTTTATGCCTAACACATGCTCTTTATCTGTAACTTCTCTACTAGGAGTATTGCTGGGCCATTACTTCTTTCCCTGTCACAACAATCTGTGGTCAGTCCCACCCCTTGATTTTACTGGATGCCTTGCTCAGGAAAAAGAGAAAGCTATCTCCAGTTGCTGCAGAATTGACAGTCGAGTGTGATTCCCAGGAAGTTAAATGCTAGGTGGGAGCCTCAGATGTTAATCACAACTGAATTAGGAACAGTGCTGTTGGCTCTCAAAAATGCTAGATCAGCTAAGCTGCTGATTCCAGTTTATTTACGCTTGTTCAGTGCATCCCAAGGCCAAGGTGCAAATGCAGTCCGTGTTGAGATGAAATCTGTGTGCCTTGTTTCAGTATCTACTAGATACTAGCTCATGTTAGAAGACCACAGTGTACTTAGGCATCTTTTAAGCATTGACTCATAAACCACCTGTTGGTTTTGGTTTTAGGTATCGTAGCTTCCTGTCATTTGTTATCCCAAGTCTCCTACAAAGATTTATGTATTCTGTTTATTAATATATCAAAATTGTATGCTATGCAGCCACCCATCCCTTTGTTCAGTGGTGCTGAGAAACATTCCATGTTCCCAAATGCTTCATATAAATAAAATGAAACAAATGTGAGATGAGGTGCAGGACAGCTGCTAACCACAGATGAAAGAATAGATGTAAGATAGTTGCATCAGTGGGTGGTGATATAAAGGGTGCTCTCGGATTCCCCAGCAATGAATTAGAACAGGTGGGAGAAACAGCTGTTTCTGAAGATGTTGTTTTATAATTACTTTTATCATCTTGCACAATGCATCACTGAGGCTGATTTGCTTTTGTTAATTACCTAAATCTAGCTATTTCACATTTTTGCACGTTGCGCACCAGCTTTTAGTGCTTCTGAATATTAAGTTCTTGAGATGGCTCTAATATAGCTGCAGAGTACATGAATACATTTTCTGAAAGCACAGGCCACACAATCATCTGAACTTGGAGATTTTTAAGAACAGGTTACACAGATGTCTTACAAAATATTTAAGTGTTGTTTGTGCTGCCTTTGTGTGCAAAGGTAGGCTCCAAAGATGCCTCCTAGACCTGTTAATCTGTGACTCTTAAATCACTGCATCACCTTTGTTAGATGAGAGCTCACAGTGAGTTACTGCCATGAACAGGGGGATAAAAGCCCTTCGTAAGTAGGAACAGATTAGTTTACTTATGGTGACTATTTCTATGGCATTAAATTACACAGGCTGTGTAGTTTCTGTATGAGAGATTCAAGATGAGGATTACAGGTCTAGAATGTATTTCAGCATGTAAACAGGTATGTGTGTCTCTTGTTAATGGGGAGCATTTTAATCATAATGGGTTTGGAAAAGAGAAGTCCTCACTTTTCCACATAACATAAACATACTTTAAAAAAGTTAGACTTGTGGTATTTCCATCTGATAAACCTCAAGAGAAAATAGACACAACTGCATTATAGCTGAGCTTGTACCAGCAGCATTTGGTGAACCCCAGTGGGAAAGCAGACTCAGGAAAGAAAATATTTTGCCTGAGAATATCCTCTTTTAGACAGAAACTGTTTTACAAAAATAAATATGAATGTTAGAGTTGAATTTCACTTATTTTATTCTGTTCTATGATAAAGGCTTTTAGGAAGTCTGGAAAGGGGGTCAGAGCTTCTTAAGGGGAAGTGCCCTTCATTCTCATCTTGTTAGCCAGAGATGATGCATCTGAAGGCTGCTTTATGCAACGGTTGCAAAAAGGAGCCTCCCAAGATAAAGAAGGTTGTGTG